ACCTTAGGTGATCCCATATTCCGTTCTCCCGTAGAACGTTCTATTCCATCCTCTTGCTTGGTTACTTGCATTGCTAGCTAGTTCCCTCCCTCCCTCCCTCCCTCCCGCCCTCATGCACCGTAGAGCCCTCTCGTGCACTCTTCGTTTCTCTCAGCGACTCTCTTCTCGCGTGTCAGGTCGGAGCCTCTCGCATTCGCTTCACCTGCACCTCTCTTCTCAGATATTTCTTATTTTCTCTTCTTTATCTCAGCTACTCTCCTAGGAATAGTAGTAGTAATAGTAATAGTAGTAGTAGTAGTAGTAGTACTCGGCTTATGCCAAGAAGCAAACGTTCAACGTTGCGAAATCCCATAAGTTCTGCGGCCGGCAAGAACTCAAAGTGCCTTTGCTGTCGAGTCGAGTGGCTCCATCGAGAGGGCCCCGTCGTATCGGGGCCACCGATCACCTGGCCCTCGGAAAAGCTTATCCGCCTACTGCTTACCTGCTTGCTTACTTGCTTACCTGTTTGCCGATCGACGAATGAAGAAAGAACGGGAGAGATAGGATACTTACGAACTACGTTTGAGAATCCTTCTTCGTGCCGTTCTCAGGAAACCCGTGCCACCCATGGAAAGTCCGTGACAACGCCTTATTTTAAATTGAAATTATACAACAGACGAGACCTTATCCATTAAATTTGAACGATCCATTTTCCCTATTAATATCTATCCTCTAATTATATCTATCTACCAACCTAAATTCTACCAAACCTTTCCAATTCGAAAAACCTAATAGTTTGCGAACTTTTAGGTACGACCACCTACGCTTAATTCTCGCGAATTAATCCCTCCCACCCAGCCGGCATTTAAATCTGAAGAAAGTTGGAAAAGTCGAGGGGTGAAACAACAGACCACCACCACCATACCGATCGATGATCCGATCGCGGATACGTTCCATTAACTGCTGCAATTGTTCACTTAAAGGTAACGATTAGTTTTCTTTCCGCGTGGAATGTTGTTACGGAGAAGGTGCATTCTAAGCGCACCCACCGCCTTTTAATACTGAATCTACGAGATAGAGAAAGAGAAATAAATAAAGAAAGAAAGAAAGATAGAAAGATAGAAAGAAAGAAAGAAAGAAATCTCCATACGAACTAGAAGGAAACGTTAATATATATATAGATATAGAAATGTTTAGAAACGAAGAAGCATAATTCGCTGTTGGTGGTGAGATTGCCATTGCTCTCGCAGAAGAAGGAACGAGGAGCGTGATCGCGATAAAGAAACAATCGAACTCGGGTCCCGCCCACGAGACCGCCAACATTCAATTGTGTCTTCTCCTTCTCTTTCTTATTCTCATTTCTCTTTGTCTTTCTTTCTTTCTTTCTCTTTCTTTCTCTTTATTCATCTATCCATCTATTTAATCATTCTTTTCTCTCGCGTTTTACGGTGCTTCGAAGCGCTAAGTTAGATAAAACCCCGTTAACGGTATTAAACCCTTGCGAATCGAATCAAATATATATTATATTATCCTGGTTTGAAATAACAGAATAGAAGAAGAAAAAAAATATATATATATTAAGGGGGAGTGTATCGATAATTCATACCTTCAAGGTCACGCAATGGAAAAGGTAAAGAGAAAGATACAACGTGACTTAGTCGAAAAGGAGGAGGATTCGGACGAGAAAGGACAATCACCCGGATCATCCTTCGAACTCTACGAACTCAAGAAAGAAAGAGAAGGTGAATCGGTTGAATTACGCAACCGGAGTAATTGAATATCGGTGTAGAAAGAAAGAGAGAGAGAGACATTGTTGTCATACCGCGAGTACCGTTCCACCTTGCTTTACAATGAAACGTAATAATAAAGGGGAGTGGCTTAAGAAAGATTCTGATTTCATTATTACACCATGCAGAGAGAAACCGATGTAGAACAAATTATCATAGTCATCGACGAAATCCGTTGACGCGGCAGAAAATATTATCATCCTTAAAATCGTTACTACTCAAGAGAGAAGAAGGATGATCTTTCGCAAGTTGTTCGACCGCAACTATGACGATGACGATGATGACGACGAACAACCAACCAACCAACCAACCAAGCAAGCAAATGAACTAAACAACGAACGAAAAAATATTGGCTCGTATGCTAGCTGTTTAGAGCTCATTAGCCGACGATTATAAGAAGGATGAAGATGAATCAAAATAAAAATAAGTAGAAGAAGAAGAAGTGGTATCGGTGTAGGTACTACTGATCTAGCAATGGCGGTACCATTTATGGGAGAAAAACGCATTCACCCCGAGCCCGTCGTCCTCGTCGTCATTATCATCCTCCTCCTCCTCTTCTTCCTCCTCCTCCTCTTCTTCTCTCTTTCTCTAACTCATCCTAGGCCTTCCGCAGAAGAAGGCGGACTTTCGAAATCGAGCGGTCGCTCACTCGTTCATTCGATTCGTGCCGTTCGCTTGCTAGGAGCATCAGCGTTTTCCGCGGCAACGTGCAAAGGTCATACAAGGAACGGGCCCCGCGTCACATGTACACGTTCAGAAAAAAAGAGAAAGAAAGAGAAAGAGAGAGAGAGAGATGATGCGCGAGTAAGTAAGTACTTATGTATATACACGTTTAGTTCTCTCTGCTAAAAGTCGGGAAAAGAGAAGAAAGACAGCAACAAAAAGACCATAAGAAAAAGAAACCTAAGATAGGACGTGTATTCGCGCTATTACGCTCGTGTACGTTCCTCACTAGGGGGAGGTCAACCGAGAGGTAACCGGCAACGACCGCCGTGCCCCGTTCTTTGCTGAGATATGCACCCCTCCTCCTCCTCATCCTCATCCTTCTTCTTCTTCTTTTTCTTCTCTGTGCCTCTCTTTACGCTTCGATTAATCTTCCTCTCTTTCTATCTTTTGCAAGTATCTTTAGAGTATCTCTACTCTCATACAACTACAGTTTATTATCATTCTTTACTACTATTTTGACCCTTTACTTGTGTCAAAACTTATCTACGTTACTGAATTCGTCTATCATTCGTGTTCTAGTATTGATCAATAATTTTTCTAAAGTAGAATTAAAAATGGACAAATTGATCAAAATGATCTCCTCTAAACGTTTATCTCGCGATAGGAGGAGGAAGATGGTAAGAAGCGTGCGAAAAGCAAAGAGGAAAATGACACTCTTCTTCGCTTTCACTTCACTCAAAGGAAGAAACCGGTTTTTCCTTAATAATAACGAAGAATTTAACCCGTTCCTCGTATAATATTCTCGTGACTGCTTCAACGAGTTAATCTCTGACTTTTTAGAATTCTTTTTGTTGTTGTTGTTGTTGTTTTTGTTGTTGTTGTAACTTAGTGATAAATGTGGAAATAATCCCCAAACTACTCCTTGAGTTAGATCATCCGACGAGTAACGGAGACGAGATTCTCGAAAAGAGAAGATCAGATTACACCTGTATCATCCACGGTGCAACAACGCTCTAAGTACTTGGGTAAAATAAAATAGAGGTAACAATCGACTCGACCATTCGCAACATCCTGAACGATTCGTGATTCCTATTTTTTTTCTTTCTTTCTTTCTCTCTCTTTCGCACTATCTCACCTCGCGCGTTGTTTAACCCTCTCCACCATGAGTCTTGATCGCACCGTCTGCGCGAAGAAAAGAAAAGAAAAGTCTGTAAAAGAAAAGAAAGAAACAGCTGTGCGATATCTCGATGCAATCATCTCGCTCGTTGAAACGACGATGAATCTGCATTATTCAAAGAACGGCACGTGGTATAATAGATAATAGTATACGTATATACATATATACATCCAAGTTGTAGGGCTACTAACCAATACAAAGAAATACAATTTTAAAAAAACTTGGCGTCTTTTGGTACGTCATATAGTTTTCTTTATAAGCATACACTTTCCAACCCCCCGTTGTGGATCTAACATCTTTTTCGATAGCAATTATTGCTACGATCGCACGTTCTCGATATTCTCGATATGCAACAAGGGGGATAGGGGGTGGGGGGGGGGGAGCAGCTAGGATAGGTTCTCTTAACTCTATAGAACACGTCCTACGGAGCGGCCGCGTGGGAACGCCTTCCAGATACTGTTCAAAGATTTTCTTCGTTCATTCCCACGTATCGTGGACCGTGGACGAACGTGGATGGACATTTTATTGATCGAAATATAACAAAATAAATAATCTATCTGCCTACCGGGGATATCATTTTCTTTCGCGTTACTAATAATCAGTCAAAATATTTCGCAATACGTGATTATTTTTTGTACTATAACGCAACAACGAATTCAAAGTATCGATATATGCTGAATGTTTTACAAATTATCTTTGCAATAGTTAGGGTTATTGATAATAGAATCATTCGTCTGAGCAAAAGCTTACCGTACAACGATAGATAGATTTTACTCGAGGCGTACAATATACTCCCCTCCTCCCCCTTCCCCTCCCTTCACCATATCCATCGTCGATTACAATATAGAGCGATCCAGAATTGATTTCACAGAGAATTACTTGTTGTTGGCGTCAGTGGTTAAATTAACTTCCGAGAGAAAGAGAACATACCTGACCGTCCGAGATATTTTTCAAACCAACCGAAGATTCGATTTGTGAGTGACGCAATGGAACACCAACTGAATCTCTTATAAGTGCGAAATTTGCTGCACCCGGCTTGCGATAAACTCGGATCGTTGCTTTCACGTACGGAGATCGTAAGAAATATCGGCTATCTCGCGCGTTCACCACCCATTACTTTGAAACTCGGTAGATATTTCGTTACGCAAGTTCAACCGTGTCGGATCTAGGAAGCGAGAAATTTGGAAGCGTGTTGTTTATTGCACAATGGTGTTTCTGCTCCTTTTCTAATCTTATAAGACGTTTTTTTATTTTACGTCTGATTAAATTATAAAATGAAAAAGAAAAAGAAAATGATTAAAAAGGTAAATAGAAGTCGGGAATATATTATTTACGCTTCGCGAAATATTTTTATTGTTCTTTCTTTTTTTTTGGTTTTTTTTTTGTTTGTTTTTTTTTTTCAACTAATAAGATATATTAACTAAAGAAAGAAGAATAAGAAGAAGAAGAAAACAAAAAAGTACCACTCGAGAGTCAATTTTTGTATGAAATAAGTAGTGTCACACTATATATCGTGAACGATGATCGATCGAACGAGATCAAACTCAAATAGCTTTCTCGTACGTCCGACACCATGGCACATCTTTCCGATCGAACGAACATCGACAACGTGGGTAGATATATAACGGTGACATAATATTTCTAAAGGATGAAGAAGTACGGAGATATTCAGACGCGTGTTCTGTGTGTTCCTTTGACGCGCACTTCCTCGTTTATGTAATACGATTATGCTGTAAAAGCTAAAGGCTTAGAGTACCGAAAGTATCGATCCTCTTTATTCCACATTAAAAGTTCAGCACTCGGTTAATTTTCCAAGAAGGAGACAAATTGCGTGAGCTTTTTCAATTGATCCTCAGTCAGGCAGGTCTCGTTGTTGAAGATGGTTTGATCCTTGTCGACTTTAACTGGCTGAACCATCGTTCCATCTATACTCCAACCCCTTTCTATAGCTGCCTGTTGTGCATCTTCCAATGCAAGACCCGTCATCGATGCTAGCACCGTTAAACCTAACGACGAGTAAGCCTTGGAGATAAGCGTCATCGCTTGCTCGCGAACGCTATCTGAAATTATTGTTCAAGATAAGTCTACAATCTCATTCAAATCTTCTTCGTTATCATCGAACAAACTAATCTATCAAAAATTGACACAACAAGTATCCCTTTACTTTTCCGCCCGCATTTGATCCATCCGAACAAATATTATTCTCAATAATGATTTAAGTTTTATAATAGTATAATATAATCTAGATATTTTAAGATATCAAATAATAATAACAACAAACTTATTGAATAACATTGTGATATAAGAATGCATTACAGTAATACAATCTAGTCTAATCTTTTCTTCATACGTCTAACCATCTATCAACGTTTATATATATTTGAAGTTTAATGTTAAATGGTATTGAGTTCAGGGTTAATGAGTTTAGAATTTACATGTCTTTCTATCCATCACATGTATAGTAAAATTTGCTACTTGGTTTTACACACTTTGATTTTAAATATTTCCAAAACTATTCCTATGCTAAACTTGAAATTTGTAGATAATTATACTATCATAAATTAACATTTAAACCATAATATATGAGATCCAATCTACGAGAGTCAATATAGTCAAACGGGTGAATTTTAGACTTATTCTTTACACGTATTGTTCTCAAATCGGAATAAATTATTAATTTAAATATAATAGATATATATGTACATGTAATATATATATATAACTAAAGTTACAATACTCGTTGTGTGAATATTTGCTTTCGTAACGAGCGCGATTCTCGCTAAAAGGTTTCCAAGACAATAATGAAAGTTATCGAGATCGTAGAAGGTAGGTGCGCGTCGATAGCTTCGATAGCTAACGATAGCTAACGATACCTTTCAGAACAGTCATGATCCCGGAAACGTCCTCGCTCCAATCCGCGTTGAGAGCAACGTGCACCGCGGGCCAGTCCCGTTGCCACATGTGTTTTCCTACCGCCCATATTCGGCCCAATTCTGAATTAGCTTCCTTCAGATTAGATGGTATTCGTTTCCACAAACATTTAGCGTTGCATCTATGATGAGTCAATTTGTTTTTTTTTGTTTTCTTTTTTATTTGGTTTACTACCTTCAACTCTAATTAGTTTTGCATAATATTGTAAAGCTCAGAAAACAAATACATACATTATTATCCTTACATAATGAAATATTTGTTTAAATTTGCAACAATATCGATTAACTAATGTTTTCAACGTGCAATACAGAAATGGTATATCGAATCTAACTAAACAAATCACGACTAGGCACATGCATTTATCTTATTACGGTAACAGAACTAGAATGTGCTCCGGTTTTCTTAACGATCATGCCAAATTGAATTGAAAGTTAATGTAAGATAAAATCATAGCATCGGTAGAGAACAGTGCTTTGACTATTAAATCGTCCGATCAAATTAGCCACGGCTAATAGCATTCTCCAGCTACCGAGAACTTGACTATGTGAATGCGATAATTGCTGATATAAGCATGGGGAACGCAATTAAAGTGAAAATAAGAGATACCGGTCTGTTAGTTAAACATATGCCGATCAAAGGCATTTTCTACATTTTTTGATATATTTCCTCAAGTATATATCTCTATAAATACTAAATTAAGTACTGAATCGTATTCTAAATAAGGATACTATTATAAGGAATCAAAGTTTAATTGCTAGAGTTCTACGATCGATATCTAAACATTCCAAGTTTGTATTATGTTATCTCGACGTTCTATTGCAATTAATAAATAATATTTACAATATATATACGACTACCAAACAGATGTGCAATTTTAAAATGAATTACGAGATTCCACAATGAAACAAATATGCAATTACATTTGTGATGGTATAATTGTTTAAGAAAATTGGAAATATAATCAAATTTAAATAGAATTAAAAATGCATCAATAGAGATAAATCATGCGAATCATTTATTCTTTAAGTGAACCATTCATTTATCAAATGTGATTAATTTCATAGAATGAAAAATAGAGAAAATTGATAAAGTAATATACATTGTTATATTATTTAATGTTCTACAAGCATACAAAATTTGATTATTCAATGATGTTAAGCTTATTACCAAGTAAATTTCCTTTAAATATGAAAATTTAATTATTAACCACACAAATGCTTCAATAATAATATCTTTAATTTAATTCTTAAAATGGAATCACTTTGGTCTGTGAATGGTTCATATATTAGCATAAGTAAAGTTTGATAAGAGATAAAATTTTCATTTACTCACAAATCATTTTGATAAAGATACATAGCCAATAGTTGAGCATAAGTTTGTGCAGTAGCAACTCCAGCAGGTGCCTGAAAAAAAAATATGAAAATATTTGAATTATAAATTAAATAGTTTTATATATAAATATTACATTACAATTATCGATAATAAAAATAAATAAGCAGCATGAAAGAATTGTATTCTTTGATTTTAATTTGAAGGTATTCATTGAATTTAATTGCCAAGTGATATTTTTATTTACCTAAAAATATCTGAAGTTAACTACCCATAGGAAGGGTGCAAAATATATTCACAATGGAAAAGATTATTAATAATCGTATATAGAACATTTCATATTTCAATGCATTATTATTTTTAACTTTTTATATATAGAAAACAATAAAAAAACGAGCTTTTAATAAATTAGAAAAGATAGACCTATAAATAAAATTAGACATACAATAATTCTAACCTCTAATTCGGCTTTCTCCAATTCAAGAAGGAATTTGCCAACTTCGTTAAGCACCATGATGAAGCTTCGTTATTTTCTTAGTGAAAAAAACGATTCATCGAATAAAATACGAAGTGATCGAATAAACATCGAAATTAAATATACTAAAGTTAAAGAAAAATCTTTAACAGCTGAACTCTCGAAACTGACACAGTCACAAAGAATACATAACAGTTGTAGAGGGCGACACCGTCCAGTGATTCAATTCACGAATTCGATTCGATGTATCGAATCTTATCGATATATTAAAAATCGATATATTAAAAATCGATTTATCGTTTTATATATATATATCGATGATTACAATTGATTACATATTTATAAAAATACAAAATCCGGATCCTGTAATATAGTTAAATTTATTTTACGAAATATTGTATCATTTCGAAATCACTAAAAACTAAATTATTTAAAACAGGTTTTATTTGATTTGCTAAATAATGTCATCTTCCATTTTGAGATCTTACGATAAATCTCGCTATCTTATAAAATAATTTACGTGCATAAATATGCACGATAAGCATTTTTTAAGTTTCTGTGTGTTTAACAAGAATACGATGTAATATTCTTTATTTAGAATAAATAATTGATGTAAATCTCCACCGATATAGCATACAATTTACAATGACTGTTGTCCCACCGGTAAAAATTTAAATTAATCAATTAATTTCAACGTGACCTACCACTCCCATGGGACAAAAAAATATAGCATTGATAATGTTTTTATACCTGCGCAAAGATTATCTATAATCATTTATAATTGAATATCATTTCCATAGATTATAAAAAAGTAAATTTCATTGTAAATAATTAAACTCAGAATCGAATAGTTTATCTCCGTTAGCGATAGTTTATGGTTCGTCTCATCTAACTATTTTTACTGTTACACACTACCGGCGATAGTTCTTAAGCTAGATCCTAATCGCGTATGGTTTTCTCGAAAATACATTTTTAAATAATATAGAATTTGCATTATCGTTACCTGAAAACTTCATTTTTGCGTAGTATGATACCTGGTTGCTGATGTTTACGGTGACTGTTAAGGCGATTTACATGGGACATGGCTACTGTCAAAGTAACTGAACAAAAAGTTATTCTTTGCGGTGAATATGGTGTCGGTAAAACGTCTATATTCAGGCGATTTGCAAACAATACTTTCGTAACAAACAATGATCGAAAATCGACACTTGGTCTCGATAATATCGACAAAGAATATATAGTCGACGATAGACGAATACGTGTAAGTATATAATACAAATGGTCTCTTTTTTGTATGACATTACTGTAAGATCATTAATTAATTAAGATTACAATTCTGACACAATATCTGAATATTTTCCAATCGAATTTTTAATGTATAATTCAACAAGGTTATTCAAAAGAGTACTTCAATTTTAAAATGACATTATCATCGTATTAAAGCTCAATGTATGTTTCACCATCCTCAGTCTTTAATTGAATGGAATAGAGATGATTGAATTTGCATATACAAGCACCTGATGTGTAGGTAGCTTGTAGGTGGATTAATTGTTTCAATGTTTCCATACATTTTTTATACTGTCAGTTTGAGCTCTCTGAAATATAGATCATAAATTTTCTAAATAAGTTCACTATTTTAAGCTTTGCCATATATGAAGAAGCCATCCAAAGACAAATTTACAATCTATACTAAGTTTCTTCATTTTTTGGCTTTCACAGTTACAATTATGGGATACTGGAGGTATGGAAAGAGTAGCTTCTGTAACATCAAGTTACTATAAATTTGCAGAAGCAGCTATTCTGGTATTTGCTTTAGATAATTCAACATCTTTTCATCTTTTATCTCAACATTTATTAGATATAGTTACGTATGCAGAAAATGCTAAGATTTTTCTATGTGGTAATAAAAGTGACTTAGAAGGTGTTACTCCGCAAGTTACGGATGCGGAAATGGAACAATTTTGGTATGTTTGTTAAACATATATTTATCTTCATTTCTATAATATGTGTAACATAGATAATTGTTTTAGCGAACAATGTCATAACTTAATCTCTGGGACTTATAAAACGTCTTGTAAAACTGGAGAAGGAATAAATGAAATGTTTGAAGACATAGCACAACATTTAGTTGAAGCTAATCGATCTCGAATGGAACTTCATGAAATGGACAAGGATCGTTTTAAAATTTCTTATATCGATGAAGCTACTGACCCATCATGTTTATGTTAAAAACAAAATGAATAACAACGAACGAACTTTTAAAGTTTTTTTTTTAAAAAACGAAGGAATTGAATTAGATTTCACATCAGGTGTATATGACGAGAAACGAATAGGGCAGAACAGGTATTTAAAAACATTAAAGTAGAAATTTTATATGCGTAAAAATTAGGAATAAATTTAAGATCCTCGATAGTAACAATTTCTACCAATTTAAATTTTATTATATGATGATATTAATTTTAAATAACCAAGCTTTAACTCTACAACTTACTAACTGTGCATTTTTGTACATTTTATTTTGCTTATCCATATACGAGCCATCTAAGTCACACATTGATAAAAATATCTAATGCTGAGTCCATTTGATAGTATTTAAATCGATTCCATCTTCCACCATCTCCCACAGGGGACTGTAAAGAACAAATTTTGTACTTGAAGTAATCTTAATTTTTGACCTGGAGTCAACATAATTCAATTGTTAAAAACACGTCCAACAATGAATCTATCTCATCCAGCGAATAAGGATATTATTTATACTCGTGTATTTTTTGCCATTGCGAATGATTTGCTTATAAGAAATAATGTAAATTAATCATGCTTTTACATTAAATAAAAATTTATACTATGATCAAGAAAGTTGTACCTCATATCGCGAAGTCTTTTAACTTCTTTAATCGTATGTTCCGCAGTATATTCGATTTCCTCAAGCGTAGTAAATCGCCCAATACCAAATCTGTATAAATTTAAACATAAAAGTAAATGATATGTTCGTATATTATATAAAACCTAACATATACTTGCCTGATGCTGGAATGTGCCAGATCTTCTGATGCTCCAATTGCTCTTAATACATAACTAGGTTCTAAACTAGCACTTGTGCATGCGGAACCACTACTTAAGGCTATTTCTTTTAATGCCATTAGTAATGATTCTCCTTCTACACATGCAAATGACAAATTAACGCATCCAGGATACCAAAATACTGAATCCCCATTGCGTACGACGTGCGGTAAATTAGACATAATTTTGTCAATCAAGATATTCGAAAGATTCGTTATATATTTATGATCGTACTGTAAAGGAATAATTTAAATGAATTCAAGAAATCTCTTATGAAATATCATAAAGAGTAAATGTACCTCCATTTCTGATTTTGCCAAGTCACAAGCTAAGCCAAGTCCAACAGCTAAAGGAGCTGGAACAGTTCCACTCCTCATACCTCGTTCTTGTCCACCTCCACTTTGTATAGCTTCGACACGAACACGTGGCCTTCGTCTTACATAGAGTGCTCCAATACCTATTAGAATATTTATATCAAAAACATGAAATAATTTGAAAGCTTGCAATTATTCATAACAATATACCTTTTGGTCCATATATTTTATGACCACTAATAGACATGAGATCAATGTTCATTGCATTAACATCAAGCGGTATCTTTCCAACAGCTTGAGCTGCATCCGTATGAAAGAAAACTTTTTTCTTTCTATAAAAAGAGCAATGACTAATTTAATATACATGCAAGATAAATATACTATTTATTTCCCAATATATAATTGTATATGTGTATAGATATTTGCCTGCAAATAGCACCAATCTGTTCAATGGGCTGTTTAACACCAATTTCATTATTAACAGTCATTATAGATACGAGTGATGTAGCTGGTGTAATAGTAGCTTCTAATTGATCAATATCGATTAATCCATTTGATTTAACTGGTAAATATGTCACCTCAAATCCTTCTGCTTCCAAAGCTCTACATGAATCTAATACACATTTGTGCTCCTAAATATATATATATATGTGTGTATTCATTCCAATTTCAATAGAATGACTTCACCTTACATTAATATTTTAAGTACTTACTGTTTGCGTTGTCACAATATGATTTTTTCTTGATTTATAAAATCTTGCTACACCTTTCACAGCAATGTTATTACATTCTGTTGCACCAGATGTAAAAATAATTTCTTTTTTATCTGCACCTATTAGATCTGCCACTTGCTAACGTATGTGAAAAGAATTATTAGTAATATTCAAAAGTATAATTTTATTTCTATGTTAGTGTATAATTTGTAATCGGTAGAACCCTATCTGTAATACGAATGCATTATTGCATATGCTATTATAATACTAACCTTACGAGCATGTTCAACTGCAGCTTCTGTTTCCCATCCATACATATGAGTTCTAGAATGTGGATTTCCATAAAAGGAAGTAAAATATAACATCATCTTATCCAATACCCTTGGATCCTAAGCATTAATTAGTGTATTAAATTATAATTTACTACAAAAGATTTTTATGATTGCACAGTGGTGCATTATTATAATTCATACCATAGGTGTGGTGGCTTGAGCATCTAAATAAAGTGGTCTACCTTCCATAGGCCCTTTTTTATATTCATCTGTGATAGGAGCTGCATAATTTTAAAATCCCATTAATAAAATAATTATTCGTAAATTTAATAACTAATGATAGTATATAATCACAAATAAAACAAACATTCATATTCTGCCACTTCTGATAATTGTTGACCAATTGTGTGTAAAATACGGCAATCTTTTAATTTCCGTATTGCTATCACCAAGCTCCTTGTTGAGTGCAACATTATGAAATTATTATTATTATAAATAATTACTAATAACTTATATATGTGTATACTGGTTAGACCGACTATTCCGCATGTTCCTAACCTCACTAATCCCTGTCACTCGGTGCAACTAATGCAGAAGTGCATAGAAGATCACAAGTTCGTTACTAACAAGACCACCAGAGGGCGACAGTAGGTACTTAACGCAATGTCGGTACAATATTATCCATGGAGCCTATATTAGATTAGCACCTTTTTAATTATCAATAACTTGTGAAATAATTATTAATTAAAGCAAACAATTATGGATTAACAATGAGATATTAGTGAGCAATAAGTTGCACATATTAGTTTCTTACTGCCGTAGGTTTTTTATGCTGTAATTCTATGGTAAGTTACCATCAGATCTCTGTCGGTAAGATAAAAGTAGAGCACTACTATTACCGATATGATGCTTAGAAATGTTACTAGATTTCAATATTTTTTAAACTTTCTTATTTCCTAGTAACTTTTAATAGCAAATTCAAATACAAATTGAATGTATAATTAAATTCTATATACATTTAAAAACAAACAACAATTAGAAATCTAATATAGATATTTTGTTTTAATTATTAATTAAAGGAGTTTTCTCGTTAAGAACGATTGTCCTAGAACAAGTACACACACACAAGAAAAAGACTTACTAGATTAAAAAAAAGACCAATATACTAGTACATATATGTATCTATATATATAAATAATCTGAAATATAAAAAGTGTGTATTAAATTATTAAAATAATTCTTGATTAATCGATAGAAATGTCTATTATTGTTGAAGACTTCGGAATACATGATCTGTGGACCGTCTCCTTCGAAATTCACCTTTGAACTGAGTCATTGTCCTCTATGAAATTACTTTTATCAAATGTTGTTTATATGCCCTTCTGAATGTGTATAAAGGGAATAATGCACCTAATCAATAAAATTTAAGATTATAATCTAAATTTTAGCATTTTTGTTTATTTTTATGCAATTAATTTGTATTCTAGAGACATGATAATTTATTTATTAAATAAATAAAAAATTTATTCTATTTTTCTATTTAAGGTACACGTATCTTGGTAATATTTAAAAAATAACGAATAGAATAAAGACAAAATTTCGTTGTATTAATTGATTATTTAACAAATTTCTGCTTCAGTTTCTATACCTTCGAAGATGTAATGTTATTTTATATTATATATATTATTACCTTGATTAATTTGACGTCATTTAAGTTTCAGTGACAGAATAGATACGAATCCAATGACGAGAATGAGATAATTCATTAAAGTATGCGATTAATTCATTTGTATTTTATCAGACTCCTTTCTTTTTTCAAATGTCTTCTACATAATTTTTTAATGAGTTTGACCTCTCAGTACAATAAATTATAAAACTATAGATATGTGTTGTAATTTATGTGTAAGTGTAAAAAAATGTATTTTTAATATTAATTAATATAGAAATTGATATTAATACAAATCATTTTTTGATTTTTTTTTGTTGCTTTCGTAATAACAAGCAGAAAATAAATAAATAAATATAACGAAATGATAAAAAAAAAAAGATATGAGATAGTAAAGACCGAAGAAAAGATTGTAAAAAAAACATTTGATACTTTCTCTTGCTGGCATTAGCGAAACGTTGTCGTCGTATAATCGAGGTCTTCCGTTGCATTCTTATTTAATGACGATAATAATTAATCAGCATATGCGCAGAAACGTGAGACAGGTAAATAAACTTTCATCGGGGAAGATTGTGCAAATAGTTTTTCAACACGTTCGCACGGATAAGGGTTGGATTTAAAATGAAAGAAACGATCTGAAAAATCGTTAAGTCTTACGAGTAATATTGTTCGGAAACCATCAAAAATATGAGAAAGAAAATTAGTGAAAAATATAATAACTTGTTAATAATAATATCAATTTCTATAATGCTACCAATAACATTAAATGCAGTTATTATGGAAGATTGCAAGGATCGGTTGATGGATGTCTTTACGAAAAGTTGTGGCAATGATCGTCTCAAAAGAGGTATCGAGAAATTTGATCTTAAAAAAGAGGATTATAAGAAATTCAAGCTGACTGAACTTATTGGTAAGTAAAATATTTGTAAAACACAATTACATGATCGATTTTCAATTTATAATTTAATTATTAAATACTTTTATAATATATTTCTTAGTTATATTGCTTTTATTATTTATTATATTTTATATAATATAATTATTTTTTTGTATACTGTCAAAGTGTATGTTTAGAAACAATAACATATTAATTATATATTATAAGATTAAATTATTAATATATAATACTTATTAATGTACTAGATAATATATAATACACCCATCCAATGTGTTGAAAATTTTTCATCTAATAAAATATCAGATTGAAATAGTTTAATATTCAAAATATATCAATAGATATTTCATTTTGAAATAAATGTACTGTCCTATTATTCTTATTATAATGAATATACTGATTCTGATACTAAAGAACAATTTAAATAACAATAAAAACAAAGGATTCTTTCAGATCATTCTCTAGAAGAACAGAAACAACCTATATCCTTTATTAGGCACGAGAAACAAAAAATTTTGACAGAAATAGCGAATTCAAAGGATTTATTTGATTCTAGTCAAGAAAATACTCAAAAAGAACGGCGACACTTTCCACAAAATTCTTTATCGTCTATTCTTGTACAACCTTATGATGCGGTAATTATAAGATCAAAATTCATTTTCGAATAGGACAAAAATTACGATACAATATTAAATTCACATACGAAAGTATAGTTCATTTATAACAAATAATTCAAAACTTTCGAGTTTAATAACACTGAATTCATAAATAATCACATTCCTAATTTTGTATATTTAATAATAGTAAAAATGACAAGGACGAATGAATACAATGATTAAATTCTTCTATTGCTTTTCACGTAATCGCTTGTTCGCATCTATCCATTCCGAGAATGAAGTTGTCCTTCAGATAATATGTACTTCATCTGGACAATCTTATATCAAATACATTTACAATTTCTCGAAATAATAATTTAACATCTCATTATCCATCGTTGTAATTAACTTTTGTGATAATATCACGATCTAAGGCTTCTTAAATATTTGTTAAATATTTATTTGTAATATCGATTATAACTCTAAGAAATCGCCAAGTAGATAAAATTAATAATATAACATATATATATATATATATACTTTCTTATCATTTATCATATTAAAATGGCTTATTAATTTTGATCAATTAATAGTTTCTCAAAGCTTTTAAAATGATATAAAAGGAATTTATTTTTAAAATATAAAAGATTAAGCACATATCGAAAATAAATATTTGATTGCGCGCGAGTGGGGCTCTCATATGACTAAAAATATCTAAAAATATCTGAAAATAATCCAAATGACGCAAACAAATAAATTTTGCATCGACATGAATTTCATTTATAATGCGTTTATTTATATATATATATATTAAATCGTAAGCTTATTCTCTGGCTTCCAATCGTTTCTCGCCTAACTTCTCCTTTTTCGCTTTCGTCTACAAAAAAAAAAAAAATAAAACAAGAAGGTAACGAGAGATAAGAAGTACCAAAGCGGAATGTTAAAACAATGTTCTCTATTTTGTAGATGAAAAACAATGATTTGAAATTGAAAATAATCGTTGAAGAATTATACGAGTCTTATAAAAATATTAACGATCGACCACCAAGATCTTTTACACATGACGAATTGAAAAAAATACTACGAGACTTAGTTAAGACTTGTTGTTACGAGGATAATATTTGCGATAACGAGAATATTGACGCTTTGTGTTTTTAAAATATGAAAAATAGAAAATTACACGTTGAAAGATTATTATTCTAAAATATAACACAAATCTTATTTATTATTTCAAAATAATCGATACCCCTCTCTCCCCCGCCTCCCTCCCCCCCTTTACAATCCATCATATTAATAATTATTCAATTAATATTATTATTAATTAAAATATTATATATTATTTATATATATAATTATAAAATAATTTTGTTTAACTAATATTTTGTCGAAATAGACTATATATATATATATAGCAAATAAATGTTCTGCAATATAATAACGGATGCCGATCGTTAGACCATCTTGCAGATCTATAAAACGCGTACCCTCCAATAAAAGTACGAGTGGCAAATGCGCAAAAGCGATCATATACCTTGTTAAAATAGTTTCCAAGAAACATTTTATTGAGAGTAACTTGGCTCTCTTGAAGTTATATATTTGGATTCTACGAAGCTAAAGCTTTAAAGTGTCATTTCAATTTTCAAGAGGATCTTTGAAATGCAATCGTATATATACCATATACCATATATCATATTTTCTAATAATACATATGCAAGAGACGTTTATATTTCTGAACGTATTATCGCAAGTATCAAGGATACCAATGATTTAAATATAACTTACGATTATCTATTCATTGATTAGTCATTATAATAGAAATGTAATAATGTTTCAAAAATAATCTGATATCGGTTTATAGTAAAACAAAGTTGACCATAAATATAATATAATGTATCGACGATGAAGTTATCTTTGGTTTCGTGTTTCTTTAATGATGATAAATATTAAACAACGAGAAAAATGCATCATCATAACGAAAATAAAAAAAGGATTATCTTCTTGTCTGATCGGTGACGCATATTTAAATACTTTTCCTATGAAATAATAATGGAAAGGTGTGTTAGAGACACAGGTAACGGTTTAATAGATAATGTTTGGAAAATAACGCATATTTATATTTATAAATATTTATTAATCGTTAATCATACGACTCCTCCCTCCACCCTCTTCCAACCCCAATTTTTTTGCCAACGAAATTTCAAGCAATAAATTATAAAGGACTAAGTCACAATGAAATATTATTACAATATCGATTTCTTATATTATTATAGATAGTCCGATAAAATTTGTTAAACAATTTTTCAATCGACAAATTATTTTTCTCGATCGCAGAATCGTATGTACGATTTATATTTCTAACCACGTTTGATAATTCGACGAGGCGCGTATTTTACTTAATCCTTAAAGTAAATAGCATTATTATTCATTTAATTATTTATTTAT